ATTTATGCGGTAAATATAACCTGTAAGGCTGATAAAGCACCACAGAAGGGGCTGGTTGGGATTCAGGAAGTGGACTCCCCTCTTTTAAACCAGTTTCTGTGGTGTTTTGAACAAAACAGCTCATAATCAGTGTTCCTCTTGCTAAACTAGTATTTCTTGAAGGAATGCATATTATGTACTACCTTACAAGTTTTATACAAATATTTAAAAAAAATGTGTGTGTGTGTGTGTGTGTTTGTGTGTATATATATATATATATATATATATATATATATATATATATGTATATATATATATATATATATATATATATAAGCACGATCTGTCTGCACTCAGACTTATGATATGGATGACCCTCAGCTACTACTACATTAAGGTTTAGCTCAATATCTGCAAAATTGGCCGAGTTGTAGCCATATTTGTTTGTTTAATGAGACAATACTCAGCACACAAAGGTACCATTTGGCTCTTTAACTGCACACAGTCTGCTGCCAGAATACCCAGCATGCCTGTTACACAGCTCTAAAGAAGCCCATGTTTCCAAAATAAGAAAAGCAAATGATTAATACTCCACAGTAACCATCAAATACATACATACCAGTTTCTTTCACCTCCAAGTTGATCTGACCCTTTGCATCATCGACGGTGGAAACTAACAGACCGCTGGGAGAATTAACAGTTACTGACAGATGTCGGTCCTGACCAACTCCCGTCACCCACTGGACCTGCAAACAGAACATACATCCTGACTTCAGGAAGGACAGCAGGTCTGCTTAAAGTGACCAAATATTCTTGTAAACCAAGGTTTGGGCAGTTTCCTTTAAGTCATTGAGAGCGGCTCAATGATTCTTCACATTTTTTTCTTCACAACTGAATTCTTCAATCGGATTTCTGAAAATTCACTTACTATTTAGGACAAGGCTAAACAGTATCACAAAACAAATGTTTTCCTTTTGCAAAACATGAAGCATGACAAACACTACTTTAGGCATATTCACTATTTTAGGTGATTTTAGCTCTACTCACAGGCCTATTATTCCTTGAAGGAATGACATAAGTGGAAAGAGTACTAAAATAACACACTTGTAAACGTACAGTTACTATTTTACTTTTGTCTTTTCTCTTTTCAAAAGTCGCCACAGTGAGTCATCCTCCTCCACCTCACTCTGTTCTCTGCATCCTCTGTCCTCACTCCAACTACCTCCATGTCCTCTCTACCTGCATCCATATTTCTCCTCTTTGTCTTTTTCCTGGCAGCTGCATTTCTAACATCTTCCTACCAATATATCCACTGTCCCTCCTCTGGACATGTCCAAACCATCTCAGTCTGGTCTCTCTAACTTTATCTCCCAGTTGTTCAACCTGTGCTGTACCTCTGACGATCTCATTCCTAATCTTATCCATCCTTGTCACTCCTATGGAGAACCTCAACATCTTCATTTCCACCACTTCCAGTTCTTTATTCTGTCTTTTTGTCAATGCCACTGTCTCCAGACCATACAACATAGCTGGTCTCACTACTGTTTTGTAAACTTTTCCTTTGACCTTTGATGACACCCTTTCGTCACAGATCACTCCTGAAACTTTTCTCCATCCACTCCATCCTGCCTGGACTCTCTTCTTCACCTCTTTACCACATTCCCCATTTTCCTGGACAGTGGACCCCAAGTACTTGAAGTCCTGCACCTTTGTGACCTCTGCTCCTTGTACCCTCACTGCTCCACCAGCCTCCTGCTCATTCACACACATGTACTCTGTGCAGCTGACT